GTTGCTGTAATTGGTCCCAAGTTGAGTCGTTGACATAAATATGTAATTTATGTGATTGTATCAGTGTTGACCAACTATCAATTGCTAATGTTTTAGTCCTTGTCCATGGTTGGTTTAGTGTATTTCTACTGGGCTGTGGCTCACCCTATATGGGAATATCATTTTCAGGTACAGGAAGCATGCCACCTCCAAGGACATAGCTGGGAGGCTAGTGGCGGACATAGTTTTGTCGTTTTACTTTTGATGTATTACATGTAATTTCAAGCCAAGGGCTTATTGTGTAAACGAGTTAGAACTCTTTGTTGTAACCAAGTGTTAACTTGGAAAGCTGTAAGCCCGTAGGGCATTTTGTTATGAGGTTAACATGTAATACTTATGTCTTGGAATTCTAATGAATGAAAGGAATGCGGTTAGTTTAATGTTATTATTTTGAGGGCGTTACATTATTTATTTTTTCCTCTGTTGGATTCTACAACCTAAACATTTTGGTTATGAGTTCTTTAACCGAGTTAAGAAGTATCCATTTGAAATTTGTTGTTAGAGTTACTGCAAACATGTTGGGAGGGTTAGACTTCTCTTATTGACTTATAATGAAAATTTCGAGCTTTGTTTTCATTATTTTCCCTAGTCCTGTTAGAGATTTGGTTGATGATCAGAAGAAGCACAAGGCAAACCTTGTCTTCACTTTCTTTGTGATTTTCTATTACAATGAAGTACTTTAGCATATGCCTAAAGTTTTGTCCTATTCATTGTCTTCTGGTGTGGCATAAATTTATGCTCCTACCATCCTGCAAATATTAGCCTTCATTCGTGTTTTGACTGTCCTGCTGTGTTGTTTGTTATAAGAATTCTAAGACATGAATTCCTGCTTGCCACAATAGACCTTATCATACTATTGATTAGGAATCTAATCGAAAACTGAAAAAAAAAAAATCTAATTAATTGAGTAATTGTAAGAATGTGAATGTATTGATGAATTCAAACAAGGGTGACTGCTCTAGGAAACCACAAATAATGAGGAATGATATTGGAGAACTAGTCTTAAAGAGGTAAGGTGTGAATGCAGTACTTGCATCTCCTTATAATATGAACATCTTCCAAAGGTTTGCTCTCTTTATAAATGTCACAAGCTATGCAACATTCTCTGTTTGTTGTAATTGATGTTTAAACCTCTCACTTTAATACTACATTTGTTTCAAACTTGTAATTTGTTTCATGTGTGTGTGTCTAAGTGTTGGGAAGTGTCCGATGAGTGTCATGTTGTGTCGGTGTCGGGCATGACATGTTACCTTGTTAGAAGTGTTTGTGTTTCTTAGATTGGCAGACTAAGTATACCCTTTGCTTGGTTTAAGTACTGTGATTGAATTTGTTCTATTTTTTTTTTAATAATTTCTTAAAAATGAATCTTTTTTATTTTTTTATTTTTTTGTTATCATTCATCATCTCTGGCAAATACAAGAAAAGATAATCAAAGGTATTCAAAGTATATATTTATGGAACTTAAGATTTGTACCTTTATTGTTTGAATTTTAAGTCTTGAGTGTTCTTTTTGTTCTTGTTTTTGTTTTTTTTGTTTTTCTTTCAGAGTGATCCTATGGCAGTTGTTTACACAAAAGGAAGAGATGGTGCGCTTCAAGAGCTTGGCCGTACTGAAGCAGTATTAAATTCATTGAATCCCAAGTGGATCAGAAAGCATACCGTGACCTATCATTTTGAGGTGGTGCAGACTTTGGTGTAAGTTTCAGTGCTTACATCTCTGCTTTTTACCAAGTGACTACTTATATGGTTTGAGTTCATCAGAAAGCATACTGTGACCTATTATATGATGCTGTCTTCTCAAACTTTTGATCATGGAAACTGGATTTATATATTGAATATATAATTCTATTAATAGTTGTTGAATTTGAAAGCTTTTCTTAAGAGAGATTTTCATGACCTCAAGCTTATAAGAGAGATTTTCTTAAATTATCAGTCACTACATTTTTTTTTATCACTGGAGAAGTTGAAAGAATGTATGAAATGAATGAACAAGGAATTGTCAATTGATCCCTACAATATAAGAAGACAACAAACTAATTTGATTCAAAAGACATTTTATCTTGTGAAATAAGAATCTTTTTGAATTGGTTTTTGGATGACCAGTAATATTAGTTCTACTTAGTAGAGATGTTTGTGGTGCGTGGCCTGATTAGTTTTCACTGTAGCCTTTATCCTGTTTAGGGTGTTGCATGTGATATGCAGACTGATTAGTTGTTAGTTCTAAAAATATTAATGATTTACTGATTACATTTGGGGTTGGTATGATGAATCCTGTTTTGTCATGCCTAGATATTTTGTTTCCCTCCTCTACTTTTATGTCTTTCCTCATAAGCTCAGCCCATGTGCTTTTTGGCCTACACCTTTGTCTTGTAGCTCCTTCAACGGGTATCATGTACCTTGTATTTTTCTTGGTTTTGTTTATGGGGAGGATGCATATTTAAAGTATAAATGTCTCCATTTATAAGCACATTTGGAGATTTAATTGAGAGCAGTTTCATGTCTCTTACATTTTGCTTACAACCCCCTGTTTAAATTGAAAACTGGCTGCGTTGACAAGACTTTACTTTAAACTTCTGTGTTGTGTTTATAAAGGATGCACTGTGGTATCTCACTTATGTGATGCTCCTTGTGTGCATATGTTCTGGATATACTATGAATTATAATCAAGTATTTGCAAGCTATAATATTCGAATGATTCAATTCATTTATGACTTTCACTCATGCAGATGCTTAAGATGGATGGGCAGCAATTCTTGGTAAGGCTAATTGTACATTGTCTCAGGTATTGAATTCCTGCCTTTCACTTATACCCATCATACTATTCTAGTTCCATGAAATTTCCTTGATCTTGTTTATTCTGAAATGTGTTTTAGGATGTCACGTGGAAGTGAAATGGTTCGCTCTTTCAGTTTGCATTGAATTTTTGAGTTGATTTAAACATTTCAACACATTCTTCATTGGAATCAGCAAAATTGATAAAGAAAATGAAAATCAGGTTCTTCATTGAAAAAAAAAACAAACAAACAAACCGAGCAATGTATTTCCTTGCTGAATGACATGAACAAAAGAATGTTCTGATTTTATTTCCTTCTTGTTTCCCTACTGTTGCTATACCATGCATAAGTTGACTAGTCTATATTTGATATGTGCTCTATTTATTAATTAATTTTTGTATATGTGGTATTGCTTTTCAAATTTTTGAAATTGATAGCAAGTGTTTCATGTTCTTGCTGTTTTTTTCCCCCTCGTGTCCTGGTTGATTTTCTTCTTTCTTCTCATCCAAAACATGATGCGATGGTCTAAAACAACTGGTTAGCTAAATGTCATGATTATATTAATGAAAAAGACTAGTCCAAGTATTGACAAAGAAAAAGCTCTTTATCATTGATTAACTATTAGCTGGATTCTTTATTTTTGCTCTATTTTTGGTTTGTAATAATATTCTCTTTCCCGTTGTGAATAACATATGATTAACTGGACAAAAGTAATAATGCTATTAGTAATTACTTTTAAAATTCATCTATCATAGCGATCATTACAATCACTTGAATTTGGGAGGTTAATAAACTCTTTTTGTAGCTCCACATGCAAAGATCATTTTTTTTTTAATCTCATCAGTACTTTACATTAAATTGATCACAATATAAAAAATTACTGAATAATTGTCTTTGTGGGCCATTAGCTTAATTTGTATATATTATTTGTAGTCATTATTTTCAAATATTGAGTGTCATGGTAATTTGTAGATTTCAAATGGGAGATTGGTCAGGACTTGGTGCGCACATCAAAAATCAGTTTGACATTTTCCAGCGATGATTCATTTCTTATTTCTGGTTCAGAAGATGGCATGATCATTATTTAGCCTATGATCGGGTAAAAAAAGTGAATCTTTGTTTTTTCAACAATTTAATGTTTGTATTTGAATGTCGTTTAGTTTTATTTTTTAGGAAAAATAAATAACTGACTTTGTAATCACATTGTTTGGTGGAAGTTTGGTAGATGAGACAGAATGTTTGATTGTGGCTTTAAAACTAAATTTTTCGTTGGAGCTTTCATCCTCTATAACGGGCCTATCAACTGCATCAAGTGGCTCTAGTTCAATTTTTTTATCAAGCTCCCTCGATGGCACATGCAAGGTTACTTAATTATGTTAAATGTTTCATAATAATATCTTCGTAGCATGAGTATTTTTGTTTCTCGAAATGACTTATTTTCGTATTGTAGGTATGGGACCTTGTTACTAGAAGACTTTTACAAACTTGAGCTTTTCCACTACCAATTACTGCAATAGTTGTTGATCTAACAGAGATGAAGTTATTTTCTGGTGGTATAGATTACTAATGGATATTTCTTTTTTGTATACGAAGGACATCATTTTTGTATGATTATTTGTTTGCATGGAATTATTATTTTGGGTTGGATTATATTTGGTTTGGATAGAATTTGATGTTACAATACCAAATTTTTGGATGGTTGAAAGTGAAATAGAAATCGACATATGTATTGTTTTGTTTATATACAGGGTGCAGGTTGCACGAAATAAATACAGGTTGTGTAGAAATTAATAATAATATTAAAAAAAAAAATAACACTAAATAAAGTTTTTGGTGACTAAATGTTTAGTAGCTAAAAAAACAAAATAAAACTTGATGGCTACTAAAAATTTAGTAACCAAAATGTAGTAGTCAAAAATATATAAGACTTTAGGTGACTAAATAGTTTAGTAGCTAAAAAAAAAAAATGAAAATTAAATTTTTTTGGCGACTACATATTTAGTAGCTAATAATAAATGATACTTTGGGCGACTAAAAGTTCATGGAGCATGAAGCTCACTTTGGATGTCTTTATGTGTATTACAGTACACAGACTTCTGTGTTTGGGACTAGAATCCATCCATTATTTGTCGTGTCACACTCAAGGGCCCCTACCCTTGTTTTGTTTTATTTCTTGAACGTATAATGGTATTATTATTTTGGAACACTAATGTTGTAAATTGAAATGTTAACTTCTATGAAAAACTTCTAATGAGAAGAGTAAACATTGGGACTTGTGAAATGACTTACTTTAATTATTTTCTTAACTCTTTCTTCACATTGCTGAAAGTTGGAGATCAATAAAGGATCGCTAATTATAGAAATGGGTTAAAATATAGTAGGGCATACAGTTACTCACGTCCACACACAATGGTACCAACTCCGCCATTCTTCAACATACGACAAAAACCATCACGATCTAGAGAACTAGGATGGTATACACTATCTAATCACATTCCACAAGTTGTCTCAGACTTCTACCTAGCACTCACAACCGTTCTATACACAAAAGGTTTCAAAAAGGCCACAATTCCAGAGTTAAAACACTAACATTCTCTGTACAAATTACTCTTCTCGGCCCAACAAGGGTCAAGGCACACACATAATGCCAACTTCCACCCTGAATTAGCTTTCAAGACTAGTAGTAATACCATATGTTCTTATTATACAAAGCTCATCTTCCAAGGAAGAGAAGTCCAGAGGAGGTACCTTAGACCACCAAACCACCAAACAAACCAACAATGAATAAAATTGGCGAAGACACAGAGGTTGAAAATTTCCAACAAGAGAAACCCAAGAATACTATCTAATTGGGACCATTGTCAGCTCACACATAACATTAAAGATACGTTATTTCTCCAGCTTAATGGCGATTATAAATTATACTCTAGCTGCACCAGGACATCCACACCTAAGGTAAAACGAGAATTAGAACAAGGTTCACAATTCTACACTAAGAAATATATTCCTACAAACAACTAGCTTGACCTAAATAATTACATTGCCCAAATGACTTAGCAAGGTACACTACAAGAAAAATGCACTTTGGCGACTAAAGTTTAAGTTTGCCAAAAGTTAAGGTTTTTAGTCGCCGAAGCCTTTTTCCCGGACTAAATATTTTTGGTGCTAGATTTGTCGCGGGAAAACGGCCGGGGAAGGTTTTGGCGACTAAAAACAATTTAGTCACCAAAAGTCCTATAAATGGCTACTAATGTTTTGTAGGGAAATACGAGGTATTGGCGACTAAATATTTTTAGTAGCCAAAAGTCATAAATTGGCGACTAAATATTTAGTCGCCAAAAGTTTTTAAAAAATTAATTTTCATTTTCAGCGACTAA